CCTCCCCCCCGACCCCGATTCCTCCGTCCCCTCCTTGTTCTCAGCTCTCACGGGTTCCGGCTTCTGTGGAAGATCCAAAGCCAAGCCATGCCGGGTCTGCAGCCACCTTCCTTTCATAGTTCGCTACCTGGTGTCCGGGCACGATCCCGATCCCCAGAGGCGGGCGTGCCCGAGGCTGGCCTTGGTGAATACATTCCCGCAGTTCCCGAGAGGACGAGTGACTTGGCATCCCCTCCCACGTTGCTCTTTTATCTACACCGCCTTCCGTGCCAGTCCTTCCCGAGCAGTCAGTGCAGAGTCTCGAGATTGATTTTGAAATAAGTTCAGTCAGCACAAGATTCTTGAGATTAATTTTGAATTAAGTTTTTTTTTTTGCTTTCCTACGTGGTCCTGTTTCGCAGGTGTCCTGAGGGAAGATTTTAGGTTTCGCCTCTTCTGTACAGTATATTTGATATTCACATATTTGAATCTGGAATCATGTAGTATTAGAATTTTACTATTTAGATGTCACAACTCCCATGAAATTGGAAGCATTACCTTCATGTAGTGACTAAATGGGTTTCAGAGGTTACTTGATTTTACCCTGGTCACTCATGTCTCATCAGCAAGTTGTACCCGTGTCTGCTGCCTCCACAAAGGTTGTTTTCTAAACCTGTCTCCTTCACTGCTTCTTGTAGATGAGTTAAGTTGATGTTTGCTGATTAGTTGCTTTTCCATGCAGCACATACAGAGCATACTTAAAATCAAACGCTGTTTTCCATTCTGCAGAGGAGATCAACAGAAGTGGTGGGGACATGTCCCTAGCTTTAGGGGGACATCTTGCAGTTCATTTCAGGGCTGGATTTGGTTTTAGTAAGTGCTGATCTGAAACCTGTCCTCTATTATGATCTGATGAATAAATGTGATATCCTGCTTAAAATATGAGAATTTGGATTCAGACCTCCCAAATTAGGTATTCTTTCTAAGTTTTCCCTAAATTTTTTCAGTTATTCAGAAATGTTTGGTGTCACCCCAAAGTCTTTTACTTCTTAACTTTCGATTCAAATCTCTGACTAAAAATGTATCCAGAAAAACAACCATTTGTTCATTGTTGTAAATTGAACAAGCAGCAGAAACTAGCACACATTTCTAAATGAACTGAATGGGAGGTTGTTCTTAACCTCAGATAAATAACAAAATTTAATAATGTTTGCCATTTAAGTTCCTTTGGAGTACTAGACTTTGAAACTTTTGTTTTTGTTGGTTGTGGGGCTTGAACTTAGGGCTTGAGTGCTGTTCCCCAGCCACTTTGTGCTCAAGGCTAGCCCCCCACTGTGTGAGCTACAGCATCACTTCTGACTTTTCTGCCTGGACTGGCTTCCAACCACAATCCTCAGATCTTAGCCTCCTGAGTAGCTGACCCCTGTCTTTGTGACATTGCTGTTTTTAAGGTTTTTAACACCTTAAAAGTAAGGTTTAGAATTGTGCCTGCCAACAGTTATAAAAGCCTAGCTTAAATAACACTGGGTACATTTTGGTTTGCAACATTCACTGTTATGGTGTATACATACCAAGTGCTGATACATACCAAGTGCTCATGATATTAGCTACTCTTTGGGGGTTATTGCTACTACTACCAATTCATGTTTTATTATATACTTTAAAAGTCAAAAGTTGACTAAAATTTGTCTTAATTTCAAGTATAATCAAATGCATAAAATACTTTTCCAGGAGAAATAAATCATTCTTAATTACCATGATTTTCTCATCTAATTTTTGTGTTTGCCCCCTCAGTTGGGAGCTGAAAGTGCAGACAGCATTGGTGCTGTGTTAAATAGCAAAGATGAACAGAGAGAAATTGCTGAAACACGAGAAACTTGCAGGTAAGTCAGGTAATTGTTTAGTGACATACTGACTGATATTTTGAAGGAGTCTGATTTTAATAAACAACCATAGAGGTACATGTGTTGCTGTGTGAAGCATCAAAAGAAAGATGCTGGAAACATGGGATTTGAGGGCCAACTCCTGGATTATAAAATTTTATTTTCTGAATATAGTAACTTTTCATTTAAAAAGTAGCTAAAGCAAAGCGCTGGTGGCTCATTTCTATAATCTAGCTACTCAGGAGGCTTAGATCTGGAGAATTGAGGTTCAAGGCCAGCCAGGTAAGATTATTTAAATTAAAAAATTAAAAATTTGCCAGGCGCCAGTGGCTCACGCCTGTAATCCTAGATACCCAGGAGGCTGAGATCTGAGGATTGCAGTTCAAAGTCAGCGCAGGCAGGAAAGGCCGTGAGGCTCTTATCTCCAATAAACTACTCAGAAAACTGGAAGTGGAGCTGTGGCTCAAGTGGTAGAGCTATAGCCTTGAACTGAAGGGCTGAGTTCAAGCCCCATGACTGACAAAAAAAAAAGTAAAAAATTTACTAAATTAAACCAGCAACAAGCAAGGCTGGGTATATGGCTGAAATAAATGGTAGAGCACCAGCTGAACTAGCAAGCTGAACTACTGCAAGGCCCCCGAAACCTAAACAAGGATTGTTACACTAATAATTAGCTTGCATCCAGAAAAAAAATGTATTTTTAAAAAATTTAATGTAAAGATGCTGTACAGAGGGGTTACAGTTACACGAGTAAGGCAATGAGTACATTTCTTATTGAGCATTGTTACCCCTTCCCTTGCTGTTCTCCCACTATCCCTACTCCCCCCACCTTCCTCACTCTTCCCCCCTCTCCCAAAGTTGTAAAGTTCATTTCTAATATATTATCTTGTGGGTATCGTTGTTGCAGTGGGTCATCCTGTGTCCTTGTTTCTGCATTTTGTTATTCCTCTTCCCCTCCCTAAATTAGACAAATGTATATATATATATATACAAGATGCAGGGTACCAAAATCAAGTACAGTGACAACAGGGGATATACCATAAGGGGAAGAATATACAAAGGAAACAAAAAAAATCACATAGTACATTAAAAATAGAAACAACAACAAAGAAAGACCTCTTGTGTCCATATCTTGGGATTCATTTTACTTAGCATCACCTTATGTGGTCGTATATACATAGCTCTTGAGCTTTTCTGCTCATCTGATAAAATTATCTTAGATGTATACTAATTATTGTATTTTAAATTATAAATTTATTTTTTATAAATTTAAGAAGAAAATATACTTTCTCTTAAAAGTGATATTTATTTGATTGCTCAAAGCATTTTAGAATTTTTTTCAAGTACTCAATTTGGAATTAGTGTTCCTTAAAAGATATATATATATATATAGATAGATAGATAGATAGATAGATAGATAGATAGATAGATAGATATATTCCCCCCTCCCAATATATTCCTTTTATTTTCTTTGGTTGGTTGTGGGGCTTGAACTCAGGACCTGGGTGCTGTCCTTGAGCTGTTTTGCTCAAGGCTAGCTCTCTACCATTTTGAGCCACAGCACCACTTCAGTTTTCTGGGGATTGTTTGGAGATAAGAATCTCACAGACTTTCAAAGTCTGGTTGGCTTTGAACCCATAATCCTCAGCTCTCAGTTTCCTGAGTAGCTAGGATTACAGGCATGAGCCACTGGTGCCTGGCTTATAACACATTCTTTGTAACAGCTTTGTGCTTTAGTTACTTTCTCAAGAAAATACAGTATTACCAGTCAGGTTAGGATAATTTGTAAACAGATGTCATTTAATTAGGAAAAATTTGCCTTGTTCTGTTCTTACAGTTTATTATGCAATAATACCAGTAGACGCCTATGTGTGTCAGTACATATTTGTATATGATGCTTCTATTTTAATTTTCAGGGCTTCCTATGATACCTCTGCTCCAAATGCAAAACGTAAGTGTTTGGATGAAGGAGAGACAGATGAGGACAAAGTGGAAGAATATAAGGCAAGTAAAGAAAAAAATCCTTATAATAATAGATTTACATGTAAGAAAACCAATTAGATGGAAAGCTGAATGTGAATATGTGCAAAAATCATTGTCATTTGAATATGTTATCAGTTAAATTAAGGCATGTAAGTGGTTATCAGTGGCTCACATCTGTAATTGTTGCTAGGCTGAGAATAGTAGGAGATTGTAGTTCCAGGTCAGCCTGGGAGAAAAGTTTGAAACCTCAACTCATAGCTAGGCTCAGTGGTGCACACCTGTCATTCCAAGTTACGTCGGAGAGCAAGTTCATGAGTAGCAAGGTTCTAAGCCAAACCAGGCAAAGAAAAACAAATGTTCACAAACTATCTCATGGAAGGTAGCTGGGTGAGGTGTTGTGATCATAGCAGCGATGACAGTCCTGAAGGAGGTGGATCATAGTGCAGAGGAGAAGCAAGACTATCCATCCTAAAAATGACCAATTAAAAGCAAGGCTAGAGGTGTGGTTCAGTTGTACTACCCCCGCCCAGCAAGTACCAGGCCCTGAGCTCAAATCCCAGTACTGTCAAAAAAAAGAAAAAAGCTTTCGTATCATTCCCCTCATTTAAGTGTTGTGTGACTTGCACTTATGAATGCAAGTGTAGCTTACTTAAGAATATAAAGCATTTAGCAAATTCTTAGCAAGCACTGGTAATAATACATATTTTTGAAGTTTTATAAAAAACAGTTTAAAAAAATTTTAGCAAGTTTTAAAGTTTTATGAGGATTAAAGCCAGGAGAAAGAAACATTTCTTTCTCCCCATGCAGGAAATGGAGTTAAAACTCCAATAGTATTTTTTAAGAATGAATTAGTAAGTGTGCCAGTAATTTTGGATAATTGGGTTTAATTTGAAGAGACTACCTTAGGCTCTTTTGTTCTCCAATATAAGGCCATATAGTTAAAATGTTTTGAGAATTCATGGGCTGTACAACAGGAAGAGGCCCAAGAAAAAGCAAACTTCTAGACTTGTAATTACAGTATTTTAAAAAAAGTATTTTGGACAAAAATGCCTCAATTTTTTTAAAGTTATAGTACATATTTATTGTAGAACTAAATCCCTAGTTCTGTAGTTCTTTTTAGTTCCTGAATTTTTAGGAAGTTCATTGACCATAATACCTAATCTCATGATTACTTAGTCACATATTTCATTTTAATATATGTTTATAACATCAGTATTTGTGATTTTATTAGGTAGAACATATACAGTTAGAAATAATGGAACATTTTATATTATAAGAACAGTAGTACCATATATAGAAGTAAGTTTGCCCATTCAGGGCCCAACTAAATTCTAACATTTATATGAGATAATGCTAGACAGTTGAGCAAACTAAAATTAATTGTGATAGTGATGAGAAAATTTTTTTATTGTAAAAATAATCAACTAATTAGATGTAATGATAGGAGAGCAAAACCTTTACTGTTTTTTAATGCTAATTTCAAACATAATCATAGGAAAATAAATGCTCTGAGTCTTAAGACATAAAGAAATAGACTAAATGTTTCCTTAATCCTCCTTTTCAAAGGATGAACTAGAAATGCAGCAGGAAGAGGAAAATTTGCCATATGAAGAAGAAATTTACAAAGATTCTAGTACTTTTCTTAAGGTAAAAACAATAGTTTTCAAATCTTATAACACCTCATATTCATGCCTGAAAGTATTGTTCATGTCTATTTATCTTCAGAATCACTAGTTAAATTAGAATTATTTGTTACTTTTGAAATACTTTTCTGTTTAGGTTGGGATAATGGTATATTCATATCAGCATCTACTGTAAGGTTGTGCTATTATTTTAGTTGTATTTTCAAATACTGGTATGTTAAAAAATCTTCTATATTTTATGTGGCCTCATAGTAAAAAAATGGTGCACAAAGTTAGTGTATCTGCATTCCAGTTCATGCCACTAATTTAATTTTGACCATTTCTTTAGGGAACACAGAGCTTAAATCCCCATAATGACTACTGCCAGCACTTTGTAGATACTGGACATAGACCTCAGAATTTCATCAGGGATGTAGGTATGTCAGATTTATTTGGGTTTTCTTATTGTAAGCTGTTCATTAAATGCTTATAATTTTATCCATTTTTTAGATTAATTGATAAAGTTATTTCCCCCAGCTTGGACTTACTCTTTTTTCCTTTTAGTGCTTCTAGTAGATCTTTATTTTCAATCAAGCAGTGTTGCTTTTGTTTTGGCTCTGCTGACGTCTTTCTTTTGTAGATAATTTATGTACTAGATAGTCAACCCATTTAAAGGGTATAACTAGTGATTATTATTCTTTTAGTGACGTCTGTCTTTTGTAGATAATTTATGTACTAAATAGTCAACCCATTTAAAGGGTATAACTAGTGATTATTATTCTTTTAGTGATCCTACAGGGTTGTTGGCAACCATTACCATGACTAGTGGTAGAACGTTTTCATCCATTAGTAGTTAGTTCTCTTATGTATTGTATTGTATTTTCTTTTCATTTTATTTTATAATTGCATATTATTATTATTATTATTTTTTGTCCGGTCGTGGGGCCTGAACTCTGGGCCTGGGCACTGTCCCTCAGCTCTTCAGCTCAAGGCTAGCACTCTACCACTTGAGCCACAGTGCCACTTCTGGCTTTTTTCTTTTTGCTTATGTGGGGCTGAGGAATCAAACCCAGGGCCTCGAGCATGCAAGGCAAGCGCTCTACCACTGAGCCACCTTCCCAGCCCCTAATTGCATATTTTTTATTTCTTTTTCCCCCTTTTTCTTCTTTTGGTGCTGGTACTGGGGCTTGAAATCAGGGTCTTAAATTCTTGCACATCTTTTTGCCCACTGCTGGCGCTTTACAGGTAGCCATGCCTCCAGTTCCAGTCCCATATTTTAGACAGGGCACTACACATCTGCTCATCAGATCATAAAAGAAAGATGAATTTAGATTCTTCAAATTAGACCTTCTGTTTTGTTAGGTGATAAAGAGCTTACTCTACTGTGTTGAAATCTGACCATCACTGAATCTTTAAATTTGTTTTTATTTGAAGTGTGATCTATATTGATTGGAAAGCCTTTACATTTTCCATTTTTACTCTTGATAGTAAAAACATGTGGCTTTTATTTTTTGGCAGTACTGGGGTTTGAACTCAGCACCCCATGCTTGTTGGTAGTTGAACAGTGCCTACAGCCCTGTTTACTTTTCAGATAAGAGCCTCCAGTTTCTTCCTGAGGTTGGCCTAGGACCACAGTCCCTCAGTTGAAGGTCCCTTACAGTTGGGCCACAGTGCATGCCTTTCTGCCCAACTTGTTTGTGGTAGGGTCTCATCCTGCCAAGGAAGATCTCAGACTATCATACCTCCTGATCTCTTCTTCTTGAGTAGCTGAAATTATAAGTACGTACCACTATACTGAGTCAACAACTTCTGGTGTTTAAATGAAGACATTTACATCATCTGTATTGTTACTATTGTGTTCAGTATGGGAGGAAAGCATAAAATAATGAGGCTGGGTGTGGTGTTACACCCTATAAGCTAGCTACTGGGAAGGTAGAGATTAGAAGGATGGTGGCTTAAGGCCAACCCAGGAGCAAGTTAGTGAGATTCCCCTCGCAGTAATCAAGCTGGGCATGGAGTGCACACTTGTGATTCCAGCTTCATGGGGAGACATAGATAGGAGGGTTACAGTCTGAGGCTGATCCTGGCCAAAAATGAGAGTCACTCCTGTTTTAAAAAATGGACTGGGGTGTGGCTCATAGTACAGTGCCTGCCTAACGGGCATGAGGTCCTGAGTTCACACCTCACTAATATGTGTGTGCATATTGTTTTGCTTTCTTGGGAGAACTTGTAAGCTGTGAATTAATGAATATTTCAGTTGAATTAAAATTTATACTGTATATTTTCTCCTTAGGTTTAGCTGACAGATTTGAAGAATATCCCAAACTAAGGGAACTCATCAGGCTAAAAGATGAGTTAATAGCTAAGTCTAATACCCCTCCGATGTAAGTAGCTCTGTTATATTTTTGTTCTTAACTCTAGCTTAAAGTAGCAGTCTGTTTATCCTATAGCCTTGCTTTAAAAGAAAAACTCTACTTAATGTTAAAATATTCCATAAGTCTGTTTCTTTGAAATTCTCACGTTGAATACACAGTGGGTTCTAATTTAACTTGCTAGATAATTAAAGTGCCTCTAAATGTATTTTTCTGGCTTAGAAAATGATTTGGGTTCATTATATTCTTTTTTCATTCCTTTTCCTCTGTGTGTGTGGGGGTGGGGTTGGGGGGCTGGGGGATGGAACATTATGGTGGTAGAGATTAAACCCAGGGCTTTGAGCATGCTGGATCAGTGGTCTACCATTGAGTTACATCCTCAGTCAGCTTATTATATTGATAATTTGCATAAAATGCCTTTAATTGACTTTTTCCTCCCTTCACAAAGTAATTTGTTGAATAAAGTTTAGGACACTTAGATGAAAAACAAATTATAACTTGCCATACTGAAGTACTATTTTTAACATTTGGAATACAATAATTCATTTTAACCTTTGCTTACCAGAGTAAAGTTTTTCTCAGAAATGCATATAAGGAGTTTTATATTTAGGCTATAGTTGGATATCCTATACTTTTAAGAATTTAATGAGAGCTAACTTGTTAGTCATTAGAATAACCAGAAATAAGTCTCACAATGTGGGAAGCCTAGGTATATGTTAGTATTTATCTATTTAAAAATGTTCCTTAAGGGGCTGGGAAGGTGACTCAGTGGTAGATCGCTTGCTTTGCATGCCTGAGGCCCTGGGTTCAATTCCTCAGCACCACATAAGCAAAAAGAAAAAAAGCCAGAAGTGGCGCTGTGGCTCAAGTGATAGAGCGCCAGCCTTGAGCTGAAGAGCTGAAGGACAGCACCCAGGCCCAGAGTTTAGGCCCCACAACTGGACCAAAAAAAAAAAAAAATGTTCCTTAAATGTGAAATACTTCCAAACTATGTGAAATACCTTAAAGCTAGGAATAATTAACATTGTATCATGTGGAAAGACTACTAATATGTACATTTTTACTAGTTAACAAATGAATAAAAGAAAATTATGTCCATATTTAGACATTTTCTTAGGAGGAGGAATTTGGAACTTAGTGAGAAATAGTTTTTCTTTTTTTTTTTTTTTTTTTTTTGGGTCCGGTCGTGGGGCCTGAACTCTGGGCCTGGATGCTGTTCCTCAGCTCTTCAGCTCAAGGCTAGCACTCTACCACTTGAGCCACAGCACCACTTCCGGCTTTTTTCTTTTTACTTATGTGGTGCTGAGGAATCGAACCCAGGGCTTCATGCATGCAAAGCAAGCGCTCTACCACTGAGCCACCTACCCAGCCTTGAGAAATAGTTTTTCTAACCTAATTAAATAATTGAGAAAAAAGCAATACAGTATTCCTTAGAAAATTCCAGTGGCAATGCAAAGGGGTTATAGATTCACATCTGTGTGTAGACTTCAGTGTTAAAATAAGTGCAGTATAAAAATGGCTGTTGATGGGAAATAATATGGTATTTACTTTGTCCTGTCCTGTCCATGTCCTAGGACAGATATTTTGGTTGATGGATTTATGTCAGTGATGAAGAAAGAAGACTCTCCCCAAAAAACATTTTACTTTGAAAATAATATTTAAGAATAATGTTTAGTAATAGTTAAGACATTACTTTGATTATCTGAAAGGTATTTCAAAATTTTACTCATTTTTTTTTAAATAGGTATTTACAAGCAGACATAGAAGCCTTTGATATTCGAGAATTAACACCCAAATTTGATGTGATACTTCTGGAACCTCCTTTAGAAGAATATTACAGGGAGACTGGCATCACAGCTAATGAAAAGTGCTGGACTTGGGATGATGTATGGTGATACTTTATCAATTTTTCTTTTTTTTTTGTTGGTCGTGGGGCTTGAACTCTGGGCTTGGGCGCTGTCCCTGTGCTCTTTAGCTTAAGGCGAGCACTCTACCACTTGAGCCACAGCGCCACTTCCGGTTTTTGAGTGGTTTATTGGAGATAAGAGTCTCATGGACACTTCTGCCTGGGATGACTTTGAACCATGATCCTCATATCTCAGCCTCCTGAGTAGCTAGGATTACAGGCATGAGCCACCGGTGCATGGCTACTTTATCAATTTTTCAAATGATTATATGTTTACTTGATCAGAAAGTAAGCTTTTAACTACCATCCCTAGTTTTGTATTGATAATAAATATAAATTTATAGAACATTTTGTAACTGAAAAGCCAAGGAACATTGACATGTAATATATTATCTTTAATTTGTTTTTCTTTTTGAGTAAAAACTGAGCAGCTAGTAAGTGAACTATAAAAGAATCATAGTCCTAGTTCTAGAGTCCTTGAGTATATGGTTGGGAAAGTCTAAAAGCAAATGAAATGATTTGTAATTCATTGAGCAGTTGTTCAATTTTAGTAAGCATCAGAATATGTATATGTGTGTATACATTTCTGTTCTTATATAGAACTTACAGTCTTTTACAGTATAGGTCATATGTAAGTACATAATTTCAGTATGATATAGTCATGATAAAGTTAATTGAACTGATGTCTTCAATTCAGTTACATAAAGTATCTGTATTCACAACCAATAACAAAAGTAACAAATATTTATTGAGCACTACTCATTACTATACAACTTCCTACAGATTCAAGATTTCATACTGAGGGAATACAGGTGAGCAGGGACCTTGAACAACAATTACACTATAATTCTGTTGGCTCTGTAGTGGAGAATAGCATGAGATGATAATGAGAACACTGACCATGCATAGGAAGATAGGGCTTGTGAGCACCGAGAAAGTGACACCTGAATTCAGTTTGAACTGGCCCAGTGATGAAAGATGAGTCAGTCACAGGATTCTTAGCTGAAGCGAAGAGCAAGAACAGAAGGAATGGAGGTAGAAGACAGTATCTTCTTTGTGGTGGATTTTGTTGGGGAATAGATTTGGATTACATTGAGATGATTTCTCAGGAGCTTGAACTTTAGTTATGAAGACATTAAAATGTTTTGAGTTAGAGGCTGGACCAGTGGTAAAGCAACTGAAGGAAGGCTCTTGCACTGACTTTCTGCAGATACTGGGTTCAAGTGATCCCAAACTTGGCTCAGACCCCCAAATTCTCTGACTACAGGCACATGCCACCCATACCCAGCTTAAATTTCATTTTAATTTTGCCAGTAACTTTGAACTCACCTAAACCTCTTTTTAGTTGAGTATCTTTTTCTGTGTATAATAGTGTTGCTGTTGAATAGCTCCCAATTCCCTTAGAAACCCCCATCATTCTGTGAGTTGATTTTCATGTAAGTTCTTTTCATATATGTATACATGTGTATGTTTGCACACATGTGTATGTTGTTTGTCTATAAAAAAACAGCACTTTTTTTGTGTGTGTGTGTGTATAGGACCTGGGTGCTTTCTCTGATCTTTTTTGCTCAAGACCAGTACTCTCCCACTTGAGCCACAGTTTGATGATTAAATGGAGATAAGTCTCACAGACATTCCTGCCCAGGCTGGCTTCAAACCTTGATAATTAGGTCTCAGCCTCCTGAGTAGGATTACTGTGTGAGCCACCAGCATCTGGCTTATAATGAGTAATTTCAAGGGATAAATTTATATGTTTTCTCAGGGAAATGATTTTATCTAAAGAACACATCTACAGAAAATTTTGTTCTACTGGATGTAGGTAAATAGCAAACTATTTTTATACATGTTTTGTTTTCTTACAGATTATGAAATTAGAGATAGATGAGATTGCAGCACCTCGATCATTTATATTTCTCTGGTGTGGTTCTGGGGAAGGATTGGACCTTGGAAGAGTGGTAAGATCAGATTCTTTATTATTATTATTATTTTTGGTGCTGGTTCTGGGGCTTCAACTCAGGGCCTAGACTCTGTCCCTGAGCATTACTACTTGAGCCATATCTCCACTCCAGTTTTTTTGGTGGTTAATTGAAGATCATAGTCTCCTGGACTTTCCTGCCCAGGCTGGCTTTGAATTGCATTCCTCAGATTTCAGCCTCCTGAGTAGTGAGGATTACAGACATGAGCTTCTGGTGCACAACAAAATCAGATTCTTTTAATGTGGGTTCCTAACTTCAGAAGGAAAAATATAACAGAACATTGCATCAAGGATGTGAACATTCATATTTTGTCATTTGTTTTTTGAAGGGTTGTAAAATATTCAAGGGAATGTCTCCCTGCCCAGGCTGGCTTTGAAGTGCATTCCTCAGATTTCAGCCTCCTGAGTAGTGAGGATTGAAGACATGAGCTACTGGTACACAACAAAATCAGATTCTTTTAATGTGGGTTCCTAACTTCAGAAGGAAGAATATAACAGAACGTTGCATCAAGGATGTGAACATTCATATTTTGTCATTTGTTTTTTGAAGGGTTGTAAAATATTCAAGGGGATGTCTACTCGCTAAGTCAGTTAACTAGCACTAAGGATAAATGTCAATCCTTCAGAATACAATTTAATGAGAACAGGTTAGAGGCTGAAGCTCCAGATTACAGCAAAAAAGTGAACTGTTGTTTATTGTTCTTTATGAGTAGCAAAAATGGATATTCTGAATAGCATTGACTCCTGAGTTCCAAATGGGAGACACACTGGGAAAGTAACACAGCCTCTGCACTGTGTAACTTGAATACATGAATGGAGAGAATACGTGAATGGAGAGAATACGTGAATGGAGAGAATATGTGAATGGAGAGAATACGTGAATGGAGAATACATGAATGTTCTACATCCAGTAGAACAAAATTGTCTGTGGATGTGTTCTCTAGATAAAATCATTACCCTGAGAAAACATGTAAATTTATCCCTCAATTTATTGTCTTAGACTCGTTTCCATCTCAGAACTTTTCTTGAAAAATTATTTGGAGTAGTTTGCCAAAAGAAAATAAATGAACATAAGTGCCTTTAACCAGAAATAATGGTGACATTGGCTATCTGTCATGAGGCTCTGTTTCATCCGTGTTACTGAGTGACACTTCCTGTGTTAGGCTGTATTACTTAATGTCCAGGAAGTGATCTTGTTTAATCCTGTTTATTTGTCCATCTGACAGATGAAGAATTTAAGTAAGATTATATGAGATAATAAGTAGGATTATACTGAGGTAAATTTCTACTCAGAGACTGAGATTCTTCAGTACTTTGTATTCTTTATATATGTAAATAGTGAGTTAGAGATCACTGGGTGATAGCATTAATTCCATCATTTATTAACTTCAAGGGGAACTATTGTACTGATCTTGGTCTTTGATAGTTATTTAAGTAAACATCTTAAATTTCACTTTGAGGTGTTCACTATGTGCAGTAATGGACATTTATGAAATGTGTTTTATGTTTGTGTGTACTTGATCATCATATCAACAGTCTTGTCCCTCACCATTTGCTCATTCTCCCTTATTTTGCCCTTTAGTGGGCCAGGGGTCAGGACTGTCTCTTACTCATGCTTTTATTCTCAGCAGCTAGCTAGCACCTGCATGTAGTAGGCCCTGCACATGCCACTCTGAACAACGCTTTAACTAAAATAGCACTTTTCATATATTCTTATTTAGCAGATTTTGGATACTAAAGTTCATATCTCTGTTTTGATGATTATATAAAGATCAAAAGTACAATTTTACCCAATTGTCTGAACTTTTTGCAATTGAAAGTAGTCAATATAGAAATGAAGTTTTATAGGGCTTATTTGAAGAGAATTGTCAGTTAGAAAAGTTCAGCTGTGTTTGCCTTTGTCAGAGGGCAGAATGTAGGTGGTAGGATTCAGATGATCTTCTGGATAATTTTGTGATTATACAGGATCCTCAGTTGCCTTACAACTGACAGCTCATTGTCTGTTGATGGCAATGGAAGATAGTTCAGATCAGTGGCCCTATCCAAATGTTTCGGACAAAAGTGCTTCAGATTTTGGAGTGTAACTCCCAAATCTAGAACCCTCTGAATGTCTTATCAACAATCAAAAGTTATTTTGAGAGCATTTGTGATTGCAAATTTGCTGATTGGGAATGCCCACTCAGTAGTAAGGAATTGGTTGGAATATGATGTAATCTTTTCAATGCTTTTATACTTTATATACGATATGAATATCATATATACAGATGATACATGCATTCTGTATTATGGCTTCCATTTCTTTCTTTCTGTATCTACACTTAAAGTTACTTTAATACTGCAGAATTTAGTGACCCTCTAGAAAAGTTTGAAGGTATTATTTCTTTAATTTATGAGTTTCTTTTTAAAATCTTTTTTATTTCTAGTGTTTACGTAAGTGGGGTTACAGAAGATGTGAAGATATTTGTTGGATTAAAACCAACAAAAATAATCCTGGAAAGACTAAGACTCTAGATCCAAAGGCTGTTTTCCAAAGAACGAAGGTATTGTCATTACTGTTTTGTTTGTGTTATTTTTATTCTCAGACTTTTCAAATCACTATATGCTATTTAACTAATTTCAGTGGCAAGATTATTTTCTTATACTTATAAAAATAACATTGAGCATTACACAAATATCCTAATTAATTTTAAGGCATTTTATTCACTGTCTTAGATTGACCTCCACCATGCTAGAAGGGGGAAAATATTCTTTTTTTTTTGCCAGGCCTGGGCCTGTGCACTGTTCCTGAGCTTCTTTTGCTCAAGGCTAGTGCTCTACCACTTGAGCCACAGTGCTCTCCCTGGCTTATTGTTTATGTGGTACTGAGCAGTTGAACCCAGGGCTTCATGCATGCTAGGCAAGCATTCTACCACCAAGCCACATTCCCAGCCCCAGGAAAATATTCTTATATGTTCTAAGCTCTAAATTTCAAAGTTAGGTATGGGCATTTGAAATTCTTGACTCTCAGAATTATTTTTCTTTTCTCTGGGCTTAGAAATAAGAAATGGCAACAATACTCAGCACTAGAAATTATTTTTTTCTTTCCCACTTGGAAGTGTTTCTCCTCTTCTTCCCTTTTTTTTCCTACCCAAAACATCCTGAGAATTTCTGCTTTAGTGGACTACTAGTATCAGCCTGTAGCAGCTTTTATTCATGAGTTTTGGGGAGCCAATAGTGGAACTTTCTTAAGTCCTTGAATTTAAAGACAAGCTTGGAGGGTGGTTGCTGTGAATGTGGCCTATCTCCAAAGAGCCTGGAAGCTCGGTTCCTTGCTTCACATTTTATCATACGCATTTTTTTCTATCTGCCTGTTTCTGACTCATAGCCTTTTATAATAAGCATGTGATGGTAAACCACTTTCCTGAATTCCATGAACCACTGTGGTGAGTGATTTAACCCAACAGAGAATTATTAGAACATTTGATTTCTAGTTGGCCAATCAGAAGCATTGGTGACAGTCTGGACTTGTCATTGGCAGGATGTCAGCCCTATGAGAATGAGCCTTTTACCTGTAGCTTTGTGCTCATAATTATAGGTAGTGTTAGAATTGAACTGACATCGAAAAGAATGAAGGTGTTGGCAGAAAAGCAGAGACTTGCTGCATTAATGTTAAAAGCGAAGTGTTCTGGAAGCAGTGAGTATTGTAAGAATATAGAACAGTTTGTTTCCTCACTTACCTGGCAATCTGCCCACACCTAACGCCTATGTCTTACTACCATGTGTTGACTATAAAACGGTATCCCAAAGAGTGAGAGAAACCAAGATTGTTTTAGAGTTGATGACATCAGTAATGTAAAATGCTATCAGATGTGACCATTGATGAATGGCTCCTCTTGTGCTGTAGGAGCACTGCCTTATGGGGATCAAAGGAACTGTGAAGAGAAGCACAGATGGGGACTTCATCCATGCTAATGTCGACATCGACTTAATTATTACAGAAGAACCCGAAATTGGCAATATAGAGAAGCCTGTAGAGATTTTTCATATAATTGAGCATTTCTGTCTTGGCAGAAGACGTCTTCATCTGTTTGGGAGAGATAGTACAATTCGGCCAGGTAGGACCTCAGTTGTTTTGTTTTTTCTTCTTCAATAAAAAGGATACATCTATGATTCTCTGTGGTACAGGTGTTAATAGGATATAGTGCTGTGTAAAATGAAATTAGTACATATTTGATTATAGTTTTAGGCTCACAGTTAAGAGGCAGATTCAGAGATTTCCTAGATCCTCCCGGACCCAGCACTCTCAGCACCTCCTCCTGTGTCAGAATTCCTCTCCATATTGGCACATCTGTTGTCTTGGGTGAACCTTCATGGGCGCTCAAATCTTCAGTGTCTGTACTTGATGCTATTCGTGTGTACATTGCATGATGATCAGATTGGAGTAATTGGTATATCTAAAGACACTGTTTAAAATATTGAGAGTATTTAAAATGGTCTCTGTTTTGGAATATATAATGAGTTGCTGCCAACCAAGGTTATTCACTGTGCTACAGGAAACTAGAAGTTGTTCTCCGCAGACCAACTGCACCCCTAAGCCGTTTCTATCTTCTCTGCCCCTCCTCTCCCACCTCACTCCCAGGCCTCTTGTAGCTGCTATTCTGTTTTATTCTCTTCACCTTTCTGAGGAACATTTAGTTTCCATCTGTAAGTGAGAATATGCAGTTTGTCTTTCTGTGCCCAACTCATTTACTTACTAACTTGGTGTCTCTAGCTCCATCTGCACTTAACAGAATCTGTATGTATGCTACATTGTCTTCATTCACTCATCTGTCAGCGGATATCCAAGCTGATCCCATGTTATGTTGGCTGCTGTGAAGAGTACTGTGAAACATGCAAGGGCAGGTGTCTCTTCAGCACATGAATTTTGACTGCTTTGGCTATGTGGTGGGGTTGCTGGATCATATGGAGTTCTAGGTCAGGATGTTTGTGGAAGCTCCAGACTGCTTTCCGTAATAGGTATCCTAACTCACAATTCCATCAGCATTGATAATAGCCATTGTTGTCAGTTGTAAATGGGGGGGAAGTGATACCTCATTGGTTTTGATTTGCACTTCTCTGGTGATTAGTGGTGTTGAACACTTTTTCCTATCTTAGTCACTCGAATCTTCTTGAGAAGTGTCTGATCCACTCATTTGCCCATGGGAAGATGGGATTGAGCTGGAGCAACATAGGACCTGTGGACTGAGATGTTTTGTGTTAAAGCAAAAATTGGTTCCAAAATGTTAATCAGAAAAGTGGCACCATTTTTGTTAAATAGGAAGTGTATGTACAACTTAGTAAATTTTCAGGAGTCTAAACTTGGTCTGTTTTATAAATGTTTTTCTAAGTAGCATATTTAGAGAATGTAGAACATGGATGGGCAGGAAGTTGGTATGTTGTGAAAGTCATAAGCTAGAATGTAAACAAGGTATGTACATATGAACTCTAACATATGACTGTGATTAAGTGCCATACATTCAGTAAGACGTTTCACTATGGGATGGATCACGGAGATATCATTAAGAATGAATTGGGGCTGGGTACTTGTGGCTCACGCCTGTTTTCTAGCTACTCAGATGGCTGAGATCTGAGGATCATGATGTAAAGCCAGCCTGAATAGGAAAGTCTGTGAGACTCTTACCTCCAATTAAGCACCAGAAAGCCAGAAGTGGAGCTGTGGCTCCAGTGGCAGAGCACTAACCTTGAGAAGAACTATAGCGCCCACACCCCGAGTTCAAAGTCTGACACACAAAAAAAGAGAATGGATTAGGGATTCATATTACTCCCTGAAAAGGATAAGAGAGGCAAATAAAAAGAATGTTTGTTTTATTTTTTTCAGGCTGGCTTACCGTTGGACCAACACTTACAAATAGCAACTACAATGCGGAAACATATGCATCCTATTTCAGTGCCCCTAATTCCTACTTGACTGGGTGTACAGAAGAAATAGAGAGACTGCGACCAAAGTCCCCTCCTCCCAAATCAAAGTCTGATCGGGGTGGTGGTGCTCCCAGAGGCGGAGGGAGAGGAGGGACTTCTGCTGGCCGGGGTCGAGAAAGAAATCGGTCCAACTTCCGAGGAGAAAGAGGAGGTTTTAGGGGTGGCCGAGGAGGAGCACACAGAGGTGGCTTTCCCCCTCGATAAATTGTAAAGACTGGTCTCTAGTAATGTTCCTCTCAACTTCCTCATGAGGTGCTTACTTTCACTCTCAGTTCCAACTTGCTTTAGCTTTTCTGTGCAGCCAGGAATATTTCAGCAAGCTCCCTTGCAGTTGACACGCACACGGTCCAATTCTGTACGACAGAACTGGATGGTCCTTAGGCTGAGTCTGCCTTGGGTGTGTAACTGAATGAGATGCAGCAACACAAGTAGCTTCAGAGACTGAAGTTATCTTGATCTCAGTGAAGGTGTTTACTTTTTAGAAAGAGTGAAAAGTGCCAAAGATCTTTCTGAGGTGTCGTGCAAACTCACACAGGCAGGAGTCATAACGTGTGCTGTCCCCACACATGGAAACTGGAAGCCTCGGCTGAATGGAGTTGGGCCCAACGGGAAGCTTTTGTCGGGTTTTAAACTGTCTTTATTGAAACAATAAAAAGAAGCACACTTCTTTTTTCTCCCTTTCATGAAAATTTTAGTAAGTACAAATGTGATTTGAGAACCAAAGACATTGACAGGACGAAATCCCCTTCCAGCTGTGAATGTGAGGCGGAGCTCCCACTAGCAGTGAAGGGAGAAGTACGATTTTGTAGGCAGACTTTGGAATGAAAGCTTGTTCTCATGCCCTCACTGGTGTAGCTGCAGATGTCCTACCCATCCTTTGCAGGCAAGGGGACAGATGTCATAGTAAGACTGCTGTGGACTTGAACTTGGAGGAGAGCAGGCCAGTCCTCTCATTTTCTCAAAAGTAAGATGCAGCAATAGGTATCTGAATATCAGGTGTTTGGTTTAAACATTTTGGGGAATATTGGGTAATGAGGTCATGACATAAATCTTTTAACATGTTACTAAAAAATTCATGTACCTTGGCATCTCTGGTTTATGCCTGTAATCCTAGCTACTCAGGAGGCTGAGATCTGAGGATCAAGTTTCAAATTCAGCAGGAAAGTCTATGAGACTCTTACCTGCAATTAATTACCAAAAAAAAAAAGAGCTGTAGCTCAAGTGGTAGAGCACTAGCCTTGAACAAAGAAACTCAGGAACAGTGCCCAGGCTCTGAGTTCAAGCCACAGGCCTGGTGAGCGCATACACACACACACACACCAATTCCAGGAAACGCTCAGGTTTAGAACATAGCTTGCAAGTGGGGTTGTAGTGTGTGTTTTTGAGGACCTGGCCATGCATATCAATTAGTTGTGTAAGACTTCATGCTGTTTTTCTGTACCTTCACTCATGTTTAAATGATAGTACCTTATTCTTGATTACTACTTTTTTGTTATAAATTTTGTAATGAAACTTCAAACCTTTGAAAGTTGTTTGTTTTCTATAAGTGGAATTATTACTATTAGAAAATGTAAAAGGACCAACCTAAGATCACACCTCTTCTGCAGGTCTTTGCATTAGCATGGCTGTTCTGTTCTCACAGTGCACCTAAGGTGAGCCCATGTCACTCACTAAGGCCTTAAAAGCTGGGTGTATTTAACTTGATTAGCTAGTTGGTACTGTCTAGTATGGATGGCATTTTGACTAAAAACTTTCCTGCAGTCATTACGTGCACAGTGGGTTAGAATGTTTGCAGAAGCAATGATTTCAGCATGAGTAGTTATAAGCTGTCTAGCAAGTGGTCGCTTTGGAGTGGCGGGTGCTTCCATCACATGGTGGTCTTTCCTCTACATTGAGATAAAGTGCTTTCACAGAACTTTGCTTTTCCCACATTTCAGGCTCACACACTTCAAAGTTTCTATTTTAATATCTGTTGTTTTACAGAAATATCTCCCGTGTGTGCATCATGCCAGTTAATATTGGAGGAATGAAAATCCTGTCACTGTGTTTAATAATATTCAAATCAACTTCACGACATCTGCCAACTTAGCAATCCTTATTAAGCATCCCAAAGCCCATTTCTTCAAGTGTACATGAAGCTGATAATGCGATTAGGTTTCCTACAAAGGAAGGTAGAAGTGGTCACAAAATACTCTTGGGACATGTACTTCATGGTCTGTTGTAGCGATTATTCATTCATACTTTGATAAAAGTTGAGCAAAGCAGATAGTTGGGTATCACACAGCTGAAATCACTCTGGGGTGTGTATGTGTGTAATATATATATATATATATATATATATTCATTAATAATATCTGGCCAGTTTCTGTTTCTTTGCCCATAAAGATACATTGGAGAACTTTTTAAATGTATTAAGTACATGGCCTTTACTAGCTCCTAGATTTGTTACCTAACACGTCTGAATCTGGAAACAAAAGATTATTTTTTCATCCTGATTTGCTCTAAGTGACCCATCCAGTTTTCCCCCCAAGATACTGTATTATCATTTTGTAAAAAAATCCCAAAATTCCTAAAAAGTAATTCTACACACTGATTTAAGAGTATATGAAGTGATTTATTGGTACTGGTTAAGATCCATTATATACAGGTAGAAACCATGAAAATTGTACAAAGAACTATTAAGAATATTGATAGACAGTTTTATAGACAAAACACTTGGAAAATACTTTCAACATAGACAAATATAATTATGGAAAATAGAGTAGAACACAAATTGTTCTACCAGGTAGAAGATTATAAGGTTATTAAAAGTCTACTGTACTTTGAAAAATCAGTTCAATGGAGTTCGACTTAAAAAAATTAGGCATAATGTAAAAATTATTTTTCCCTCACTGTAAATATGAGAGGAACCAGACTTTTTACTCCAGATCTATACACTTTGAAAAATAATTTATATGTCTAGCACAAAGAAAATTGAGAATGTTTATGTTTCTGTAAACTATGCTTTTCATGAAATGGACACTGCATCAGTTTTCAGATTAAAAGTTGTGCAATCAGAAATAGACTTGTTCCCTTTATGGTACAACTGCCCCTTCATTGGCTTTATACCTGAGCACCAAAGCTAAAGTCCTCAATGCCATCTTGGAAAGCTATTCTGAAATTGAGCAAGAAATCAAAACTAGCCTATATCATCTGCAAAATTAGGCACCAAGAAGGAGAGATCTCCTTAAATTGCAACATTGCTGAAAGAGAAGTTTCAGTTAATTGAGCAGCTGGCAGATCTCCTTGTGAACACAACAAAGGAAGTCCATATATGATGACCCTCCATAAAGTCCTTTGTCTTCTACCAGGAACTGTCGGAAGACCATCTCTGACTGTTCTCGCTGCTTCACTATTGTCAGCTGGAAAACAACAACAGCTGCTGGTTATAAACGTTTTCTCACGTGGCTCGGTTTTTAGGTTGCTTCCATTTTTCCAAGTACTATAGATACTCGCTATGGATGAGGCCCTGCACAGTGCCTGATACCAGAGCAGAGGGAGGCACCGACACCTACCCACAGACAATGAATTTTTGTGGAAAAAAGGAAAATTTCCACTGGGCTCCTAATGATGGCTCATACGTGTATAGCAATTCAGGAGGCTGAGATTGAGGATCATGGTTCAAAGCTAGCTTGGGCAAGAAAGTATGAGACTATTTCCAGCTAACCACCAAAGAGCTGGATGGGGAGATGTGGCTTAAGTAGTAGAGTACTAGCCTTGAGCTAAGGGAGTGTGAAGCCCTGAATTTCAAGCCTGAGAACTGGCACAAGTGCACATGCACAAAATTCCCATAAGTAGAGTGCTATGGGAAAGGCTTTACACTGGTAGTCACTGTACTGTCATGTGAGTTTTCCTAGGCCTTCAGGTTAGAGCATTCCATACTGGAATAAAATGTTTCATGCATGAGAGAGAGACAACTGTCACGTAAATTATTTGAGGATTTTGTGTGTGTGTGTGTGTGTGTGTGTGTGTGTGTACATGCACATGCTAGGGCTTAAACTCACGGCCTAGGCACTGTCTCTGAGCTTGCATGTTTTCAAGGCTAGCATAATCTACCTCTTGAGCCACAGCTCCACTTTTGGCTTTTCTGATGGTTAATTGGAGAAGAGTCTCACATACTTTTCTGCCTATGCTGGATTCATTCTGTGATCTTCAGATCTCAGCCTCCTGAGTAACTAGGATTACAGGCATGAGCTACCAGCACCTGGTTAGTACAGGTTTTAGAAGGCAATGAGAAGGTAGGAACAAATGACTATTACCATGAGTTTGAGCTTTTGTATGAAAAAAGGCTGAAAGGAAAGGAAGCAGGTAGCCATGTGTGTAGTACAGTAATGAGAAGAGCAGGATGCAGACGTATTGGAAAGTGAGTAGACTTGAGGGGACTGCAGAGATCACTTCCTCTTGTGCTCTGGGACTATTCTGAGCTTACTGTAGCCAGAGCCTTGCAGGCTGCTGAGTCCTAGAAATGTGGCTCACTCAAATTGAGATGGATTGATTGTAAAGGTAAGGTACCTACTGTCTTCCTAGGACTTAATTTGGAAAAGAACATGTAGAATAGATCTCAATACTGTGTGTTCTGGATCCCAATGGGGAGAAGGTGCCTCTTACTTCCTCCAGGCCACTCCAGGGGCTGCACCAGCTGCCGCTACAGACAGGTGTGCAATTCAGGTGTGCAATTCAGGTGTGCAGGGTCCAGTCCTCCCCACTTTTAAATCAGGTGCTTTTTATTATGAAGAATAATCCAGTTATACAAGTTAATATTTTTTTGTTATCTCTTGCCCTTGGTTTATAGACTGATAACCTTTTAAATTGTGCCTGGCCTAATAAAGATAGTATATAGAACTGCTCCTACCTCAGCTCAGTCTTATGGGATAGGATTTGACTTTTTTTTTCTGATCCTACTATTCTAGATTCCAGTTTCTCCTATTCAATCCTTTATGTGTGTGTGTACGTGTGGTGTGCACGTGTCAGTACTGGAGCTTGAACTCAGAGCTTTGGTCCTGTCCCTTAGCTTTTACACTCAAGGCTAGTGTTCTACCACTTGACTCACAGCTCTGTTTCTGGCTTTTTGCTGGTTAATTGGAAATAAGAGTCTCACACACTTTCCTACCTGAACTGGCTTGGAACAGTGATCCTCAGAACTTAGCCTCCTGAGTAGCTAGGATTACAGGCGTGAGCCACCAGCTTCCAGCTCACCTATTAAGTCTTAACTCTTAAAAGTATGTTTTCATTTCCTTTGTGTGGCCAGTTTGCAAATATCAGGAGAAAGACGTGTAATGCTGAATGCAAATGTGCATTGCTGTAGGTCTTGGCTTTGTGATGCCTGCAGGAAGAGTAACTGGCACTCACTCGGCTACCAAGAGAGGCCTCAGAGAGGGAGTGTGCTTCACCTCCAGTCTCCTCTCTCAGGGTCTCCTCAGAGTCACTTCATGGTGGAGTGATTAGGATGTCCCAGGAAGGCTGTGTTGAGCAAAAAAGAAGAGCGCCATGGACACAAACCTTACCCAACTCTGGAGGCAGGTGAGTGAAGAGAAGCTAAGAAAGGTCAGGGAGAAAGAAGAGTTGAGATCACATGTTTTAAAAACTGATAGAAGAGAGAATTTGAGGAACAAGGTAATATTCCATGTTTTAAATGTTGCTTAAAAAAAAAAAAAAGCCTTGAAGCCAGAAGTGGCACTGTGGCTCAAGTGGTAGGTAGAGCACTAGCCTTGAGCTGAAGAGCTGAGGGACAGTGCCCAGCCCCAGAGTTCAGACCCCATGACCGGTCCCACTCCCACCCCCCCAAAAAAAATCCTTGAGTGTCTGTTGTCTTCAGCAATTTCACTGTTTATAGACAAGTGGAGGGAAGGGAAGAAGGAAACACTAATAGTTAAGTATAGATGACTTTTTAAAGAAGCCTGATGGTAAATGAATGCTGTGATGCCAGGATGCAATAAATATTTGTAGAAAGGAAGGAAAGGGAAGCAGACATTTGCAGAAGCAGGTAGACAAACAATTTGCAAACTGGAAAAGAGCCAGCGGGAAGAGTGTTAGCCAGAAAAGACAAAGAGGAAGCAAGATACAGCCTTTGCAGCACAGGAAAGAGTGAGCAGGGCAGGAGCAGAGTGTATCAGGAACACTTGTTTCCAGTCATCTTATGAGCGAAATTTTCTTTTGTTCCACCACAGAGTTAAGAATGAGGCTCAAGAGATTGAGTCTGAAAAAGTAATTATCACCTGAATAGTGGAAGTACCTTCTATATTTGATTCTGCTTTGTTTGTTGTCTTTTTTTTTTGGGGGGGGGGAAGGTTGGTTGTGGGGCTTGAACTCTGGTGGGCACTGTACCTGTGCTCTTTCTTCAGCTCAAGGTGAGTGCTCTACCACTTGAGCCACAATGCCACTTGCAGTTTTCTAGTGGTTAATTGGAGATAAGGGTCTCACAGACTTTCCTTCCCAGGGCTGGCTTTGATCCTCAGATCTCAGCCTCCTGAGTAGCTAGGATTATAGGCGTGAGCCACCAGCACTCAGCTCTATCTTTTTTTTTTTTTT